GTACTCATCTCTGTAGCGCATTCTTTAATATACATCAGACGTTTTGACCATGGCTAAAAGCATACACACAATAGAAAAAGGCAGCTGTTAGTAACGTGACGTACTGATTTGAGTTTTTTTTTTCTACCTTTTAACAATCTGAATCAACCATAGGTGTCTGTTCGAAAGCAAGCTTAAGTCAACAACTGATAGGGAATGTCCAATTTCATTTAATAGCACATCGATAATCAGAGAAGTAGTTTATTCTGTTTCAATGAATAAGGGGAAAAACGAAAAGCAGCAAATGATATTCGTAAAGCAATTAGGAATGCATGACGTATAATCTGTTTCTAGCCAATAAAATACACATGTGTTTCGGAGATTAAATCAGATAATGATCAAAAACTTGGCTTCCAAGCATCCTATGCAACAGCTCACTAAGAACTATACTACTGATCGCAATAATAATCACCAACGCTTATTTATAGCTGAAAATATATATGAGCAGTTTTCATTCCTTCTGAATATGCTTCCTCTAAGTCCTTCTGCTCCTTCAAAATTGGCTCTCACTTGGTCTCAGCAATTACCGATTATGTACTCAGTACTGCATAAATTATATCAGTTACAACATGGCAGGACGATCCCTATCAAACATCCTCATGATGAAAAGCTTCTTATATGGTTAAATTAATTCCAGTAACTTTTTCTTTGGTGATTTACTCATTCCTTACTTGGATCATTAAACTTCAGAGGCACATCAAAAACAAAATACTTGAAATTTTTGAGCAGTGTGAACTTTTTATAAAACTTTTATTGAACACGCTATTTAATAATATAACTGAAAATCTTTTTATCCAAAGAATTGCCCCAAAGTATAGCAATGACAACCCTTGGTTCAACTTCAGTTTGCTAGTGAAGCAGAGTTTGATTCTTGGTACGGAAGTGTAGCCGCCCATCATGCCAATTGGATCAGGCGTACGGCAACCATCAACAAAAGAAACGCTTCCATTACAGCTAGTATGTCACCAGAGCAGCTAAATGCTTGTGACCTAACAAAGAAAACACGTTACTTTATCTGTGACCACGGTAGAGCCAAAGCAGTTAGCAAGAAAGTAGCTATAGACGCGTCTTCAGATGTAGCTTCCGAAGCATCATCTTCAAGCGAAGTAGTCGCTAAGATAAGGAGAGTATCAAAAAAAGCTTCAATTAAAGTTAATTGTCCTGCCAGAATTACTGAAATCATTTCGTTCAATAGTAGCGTTAACGTTGAATACGAATGGCACCATATCTACCATGACCCCTTGGCTGCCCTTGACCTTACTTCCTCTCGCTTGCAGAAGGCTATTAAAGGTTGGATCAACCAGCAAGTTGAGTCAAGCAAAGATTGGAAAGCAACCAAGGCTACCCTTTGTCTTTCTGAAAACAATTTGGATGCTGTAAGTAATAATAAAATGCTGTATATTGCTTAATGACTAATACCCAAACAATAATCATTTTAGTTCGATATGTCTCAGGCATTTTTAAAAGTTCCCGCCGGTTTGCTCGTTCGCTACGCCGATGCTTATAATGTTATTTTTGCCAAAATGAACAAGCTGTCAAGAAAGAATCCTATTGACATGGAAAGCGTTCGTTTGTGAATGAATGTTTTACAAAAAACTAGGTTTTATTCAACCTTGTTTTCTGTTGATCCTGACATGAATGAACCTTTCCTTGTTTCGTGGATGTCTTCTTGGCAAAATATGGTAGGTTCACATACTGCAATACTAATATAGAAATACATATAAGCTAGCAATATGTATCATGGTAGATGCTTAAAAGCGCTGAAGAAGGATATGGATTCGACACACAAGGCGTACAAGTCGTTTGTCAAGTCCGCCGAATATTGCTATTTGTACACCATTGTTGTCCGTAACAAAGTGACAAACAAGGGTGTCCCTGTTTGCTATTTCATCACTAACAGAGAAGTAACACTTGCTCTGGTCAAGGAAAATGCCAACGTCAATCTCCAAAGAATCATGATTGACTGTAGTGCAACCGAAATCGAGGCTTTGAGACAGACGTTTTCTGGCCAGGTTGACATTCTTCTGTGACATTAGTACATTAAGCGTGCTTGAGAAAAGTATCTGAAGACTGATTTAAGTTATTTGCTATTCACTTAATGCCTTTATACTCCAACTCTGTCTAATATATATTTTACTATTTTAATAATCAATAGGTAAAAGTTGTAGGCGCTACTCACGAATTTGTTCGGGCTAGAGATAGCATTCGAATTGCTACCCATAAGGTGGTGCATGCCGAAAGCTCTAAGGCTTATGAGAAGTAGGTCTTGGATTTCAAGGCATTCTTTGAAGCTAGCTTCTCTGTCTTCGTTACCTATTTCGAGAAGATGTGGTTAGGAAGAAAGGGTCTTTGGGCTAAAGCATGGAGATCTGTAAGTGAAGACATTACATCTATATTCATAAGCTTCGTCAATTATTAACAAGTCTGTTTCTTTTAGGATGCTTCTTTTCATACTAATAATATGATAGAATCTTATCATAATCAGCTGAAATCGTTTTACTTGATCAGATCACCGAACAAGTGTGTTGGCCGCGTGGTTTACACTTTGGTAAACGTTGTCCTTTGTGATTACAGAATAGAGCATGTTCAAGTTAAATTTGGTTTAAAAGTCATGCCTTTGACAACGGAGCAATCAAAAAGAGAGAAAAAAGCTGATGAAATCGAGTTGAATGTTGCTCAGGTTATGGTTACTATGTCTCTTGCAAATGACCAAGTTGTAAGTCCTTTATTCTCGAAAACGTATGTGATATCATCTAATTTTGCTTCATAGACCTTTTTTCGCCACTCGTTTACTGAGGAAGATGTAGAATACAAGGTGAATTTGGACCGCTCTCAGGAGTTCAATGTAGGATGCAGCTGCCTTCACATGCCCTACTTGTGCAAGCACATATTTCTTGTTTCCCGTATGCAAGCTATCTCGTACAGTGGCAAATCTGTCTTCTCACGTAGACCAGCGGAGGATGTAGACGGTCTTGGTGATGAAGCAGTTGATATCATCGAGAATAAAGGAGGTTATCAAGCCATTTTGCGTGAGCAGCAAGAGCAACAATAAGAACAACAAAGACTATTGCGTGTAAATACGTTGTCTGAATCGCTGGAACAAGCGTATGCTGTTCTTGGCGTACTATGGGGAATTTTTGGCTGTGAAATTTTGGTTATTTTTTTTACTGGACTATCACTGCGCATTTACTGGACAACAAAATCAGTTACTGGACTACCACTGTGCATTTACTGGACATCTAATATTTCGGGGAAAATTTCCCATAGTGATTCGAGACGCGTGGGAAGGAAGCGCGCCCTGAGTAGCATCATGAAAACCAGAAGATAAGGATGTTGTTGAGGCCTCTGTGGTAAATGTACTAGAGAGAACCGCTGATGTAGAGTTGGGAGAATCCCTAGGGATACTCCCGGTATCCAAGTGGTGAATATTGGAAAGAACATGTTTATTGCTCATTTTTTCGAAACATCAGAAGAAAAGTCGTAGGGGCTACGAAAAGAAAAGCTCCAGAGGACAGAATTTCTGTTCCTAAAGGCAATACATATGGCCATTATATGTAGTTCATTAATGACACAATGGATATCATGGAGGACTTTCCTGAAATGAAAGGATTTTATATTGTCATGGATAACGCTCCAACCCATGTTCCTGCAATGATTGGCCATATCATTATTAAAAGAGAGTACATACCTGTGTACCTGCCTCCTTATTTGCCAGAACTGAACCTTATTGAACAGTTTTGGGCTATTTTAAAGAGCAAATTCAAGCGAAGTTTAGTGATGTGGAAACACCCAGTTCAAGAATTATCGAAGCCAGTGAAGCGGTGACTTTAGAATATCTTTATAATTTCGTTCAGCATTCTATAGGCCAATTTTACCACTGCCTAAATAAACGCCCTATATAAACATTGCTATGCCTTTATTGTTTATGACTAAAAGCATTTAAGCAAAGCGACCAAGTCAACTTATTTCTTTGACGAATTTGATTTCGAAAAAGTGAGCAATAAAGTTTCCTTTTTCGAGTCAAACTAATCTCGAAAAGACAGAAAAATATTCTCAAAAGTTCGACTGCTATTTTCAAAAAATCGTCCAATTGAAAGCGGAACGACTGTATCTCTTGTTTACATTCACTTCTGAAAGTGATGGCTGGTATAGCTACAGAGTAGACGCCGAAATGATAAAAAAGAATGAAAACAGATTTCTCAAAGCATATACCAAGAAAACTTTGTTTTTTTTTTTTTT